ATCATCATCATCATCATCATCATCACCTGCATCGTCGTCGTCATCATCATCACCGCCACCACCACCATCATGATAATGGGGTGGGGGTGTGATGCTGGGAGTTGGTAGCAGTCTTGCAGTGCAGATTTCTAGAACTGATTGCCATCATTTTGTCATTGGTGATGCTGGAACCGGTGATGTTGGTGCTATTGCCTTTGCTGATGCTGATTCCAGTGCTGAGGCTGGTGTAAGTGCCAGTGCGGCGGCTGCTTTTGCAATTGGAAGGTGGTGCTGATGATGTTGTTGATGATGATGATAATGATGATAACGATCCGCAAGTGATGAGCATGATGGGATGTTGATGTCGATGTTGGCTTTGCTGCAGATGATGAACTGCTATTGCTCGCGGTGCTGCAAGGTGACTGCCTGAAACTGCAAGCGGATGAGTCTGCTTCAATGCTCCATGAACCCCCTTCTTGTGTTAATGTGGCTATTTGCAGGTTCTTGACATGGCGGCCCATACTGCCTGTACACTCTTTGAGAGCCCTCTGAACCTCTTAAACGCTTCTGCGAACTCTGCCCATCTCTGCCCAGCGATCAACCCTTGGCAGTTGGCTGGGATGGCTGTACAACTTGGTGCGACGCCTGGCCTTCGTGGTGGGATTTCCGGTTCAGGATGTGATGAGGCTGATGAGACTTTGGTTTCTCTCCGCCTGCCTTTTCCATATCATCCGAAAATGCTTTCTAGACTTTGATGAGAGTTTCAGGTTTAGTCCCGAACTTTTCAAGGGTGCGGGAACAACGTGATGACCAAAATTTGCGGTTGGCATGCACTGCCCAAAAGCCCCCTTTAACTGTCTTACTTGCACAATGCCGAGGCCATGCAGTTCCCGCTGTTGGTGTTTGCCGCGTCCTTGAGTACGTGCACGGGGCATTATTGGCAGCATTGCTGCCGAGGAACCCAAAATAATCCCTTGTCAGTGCTTCTATGGATGCCGGGGCAAACTGCAACAAAATCACTCCCCAAGTGGTTGTCGCGACTTGGGGGGGCTTCAAGAAGCAAAGATTTGGCCACAAGCAGCCATGGTTTGGCTCATCGCTTCTCATGTTCCGTTGCCTCACCTTGCACAGCTAGACGCAGCTTGCTGTGGCGCACATGCCCATGCCAGCCATTATCAGCAATCTAAAACAGAACTGTACTCCTCGCCCTCAGGCGACGGACAACAAACGCACCCGCACCTGAAAAGGTTCTGCTGATGCACGGCTTCTCTGCGCCAGTGGCACCCTTGGGGAGAGAATGTCGTGTCAATGCCCGTCGCATTCGTTGGGGCTCAGGGCTTGTTTGCGTGGAGGGTGCCAAACAGAGCGAGACCTGCTGTTCAGGTTTGTAGGAAGGTCAATGACAAGTTCAATCCTTTCATTGCCGAAGCTTGGCGTGACGAATCCTATGTTGCGCCAATGTTGCACATACATGCACATACTTTGTCAAACAGGTGCTAAAGTATCAGAACATATCCATGTGCTTTGATGCGCCAGCTATGGTTGTTTTTCTTGTTCATGTCCACGCATGTCAGAAGAACGTTGTGATTTCGGGAAGGCTCCATGCCTACAGTGGCCTAGAGGATGCGACACATTCGGATTGAGCTGATGTCTTGCTTCAGGATTGCCATGTAGAACACACGTGCTGCTAATGTCATCGGGTTCAGAGTGGTCGTACTCCGCAAAGAAGGTGTATAAATCAAGGGGCTTTCATGTTACATGCAGGAAAAGGAATGTTGGCTGTGATGGCATGTACATGGTCTGATGATGGCCTGGCCAGTTTGAGCTTGTTGCTGCGCTAACTTTCGCATGCGAACACCTGACCCATGACCAAGTCTGAACAGAGCCCTCACGAAAAGTTGATCTCTTTCCTGGCGGTGGTGGCGGCGGGTGGCGGTGGCGGCGGTCGCGGGGGCCATGGCGGCGGCGGCGGTGGCAGTAGTGACGGTGGTGGCGGCGGCGGTGGCGGCAGCGGTGGGTGGTGGTCCTGCAAATCAGGGCTACATTCTTCCTATGGCAACTACCAATCAGTGATAATGCTTTCAACGATGTGACGATGGCATGTTCCTACTATGCATTAGTATTGACTATTCCCATCCTCCTCCTCCTGTTCGTACTTCTCATCCTCGTCTTCCAGCTAGGGCATTGCTTTCCTGCTTGCCAACCACACCTACTTGATTGCAATCAACATGACCACCAACGAGATGGCCACCCTTGCCTGAATTCCGGGGCGCTGTTACTTGGGCTGGGATCTGGGTGATAAGTTTGGGGAAGTTGGGGTTTGTGAGTGGGCTCGCTTGTAAACACACCTTAATACATGTACATATATATATACATACAATTATATATATATCTACATATGTAGACACACACTCGGGCTCTGTATCTCAAGAAGACCAGACAGAGGATTTCTTGAACGCAAGCTCCTGCCCCATTAGCACTTGGCTGAACAGGATCGACCTGCCTCAGTTGCTGCTTGTTGGTCTCCTCAGCCTGCCTTAGAAGCCCTGGGCAGTTCGCCAATGTGTAAATGGCCATGTCCACTTGGAATGCTTGAAGGAAAATGTGATTACACTACGTTCGCAACATTGGGATGGCGTGAAGAAGCTAACATTCATACACCCCTAGCCTCCATGGCCGAACCCAGCTCATGTTCTGATAGTCTGAATCATGTGAAGACGAATCTGTTTTGCTATACCACGCACCTGTTACGGGCAGATCAACAGAGATCGCTACGAGCACTTCTGGCAAGAGGCCAACCTGCACCAACCTACTGGCCGGTAGTCGAAGATAGCATAAGATAGCTAACGCTCATATTCTCCATTCTAGGCACATTCGGGTTTGGGGTTTCTTCAGACGGGTTCAGCTTGCACCTTGTTCAAAAAGCTTGTAAGAATCTCTGCACAGGTGCACCAAGACAAAGGGATCAAGAGAAAGGCACGGCAGTCTCCTGAGGATCACTTTTTGCAGATCACCAACCGTTTATCTAAAGTTGCAATCATGCCTGTGGCCGTCCTCCAGGAAGCTGAACTCATGTGTTTGCAGACCTGCCAAAGCCTGGCCTTCGCTCAGCAGACATGGTCAGAAACACGTTGCGCTAATATGGAATCTGGTGACACGTGGGTTTGCTGCAGCCTCCTACGCGGCTAGCAGCAGTATACGATGATCATGACGCGGCATAGCTTGGAGCCCGAACTGACATTGTCCTATCAAGCACCGGAGTTTATGATGAATGTACGGCACATGGAGCGCTTGCAGGTGTTTCAGAACCCTTTTGATAAGGGATCGTACATGAAGCCCGGCTCTCATTGGGCGGGGCAAGTTAGTGGGAGATGCGACACCATGACTTTCCCTGTCGATTTTGTATCTTTCAGTTCCAGTGTTGTCATGGTTGCATGACTGGTCTGGACGACAGATGTGCTGGCATCATCTCAACTGCCATGGCACTGAGGAACTGCCTGGACTTCTGGTGGTATCGAAATCGGTCGGCCATGAAGATTGGGTTGCGGCAGCTGGTGGTTTGAAGGCCGCTGTAGTAGGCGTTTGCTGTTCCGTGGTCAAGTGTCACAGCTTAGTTTAACTAGGCTAGACGCAAAAGTTTTGCTGCATGCCTATCCGAGGCCGCGACAGGGAAAGCGAAGGACAAGCGCCGAGCAGAATTGATTCAAGCATGCAGTTCTGTCGATTCCCTTTCAGAATCAGGCGCGCACAGTTTTTTACAATCTCGGTAAGATCCCCAACATTGGAAATGAAGGAAACCTGATCTTGAGAAGAATATATACGGGTCTCCGGGAACGTGCAGACAGAAGAGCAGCCGAACAGGAGCCTATTCACATCCAAGCCACTTTAAAGGAATTCCACTTGATGTCAGCTCGATCACTACTCTTCAAGCTAATCTTGCATCAGCAATACTCGAAAAACACGGCATTTGCTTTGTATATTGCTGGAAGATTTTTCCAGCAGCACCCATGTGAACTCGATGTATCTCTATGTGAATGGCATTCATGTGGAAAGTGCCTCCCGTAATTGAAGTGGTCTGAGACTGTAATAGCCCTGCGAAAACAGCTTAGCCACTGCTACAAAATGTGTCGCCTTGCACCTTGCAAGACAAGGGCTTGGCAAATGAAGCCAATCTATGAAGCCATGTTGCATTCTGTTGTTTCTGTTTTGCTTTCGCCTTGAGACCCGATCTGAATCCACATAATCTTATGCCTGATGACTGCTTCTGTGCTGACTGGCTCAGTCCTGCGAGTTGCGAGGACGCGGTGGGGGCGAAGTCTAACTGCAAGTGTTGCAGGGCTTTGGTGAAAGCATCCCTCAACGTTGAGCATTTTGAGCCCAATGTGTAGCGCGGGAAACATGCAGCTCACACAAGCAAATTCTGCACCTTTCAATGTGCAAAGAGGAGACCCCAGCTCCCCTCTCCTGTGTCGGCAGCTCCTCTCCGTCTCACTCGTGCACGTTTCTGAGAGCCATGGCTACGCGCATGTCCACTGCATCGGCTGTCAAGCCAGGCAAGCTGCAGGGCTGAATCCAAGCTTAGAAGTTGGAATGAGCTGTTTTCAGCAATACCCATGTTAGATGGCCCACGAGCAATGGGCCTTAAAAGCTCCAACTGAAAAAAACATCCCAAGGGCAATCCTACTTGGGACCAGGCGTCGTTCCTGCTTTAAGGGCTATTGGGAATACCAACCTGTGCTCCGCCAACGATGTTAGCTGGAACTATGGGAGCATGAGTTTTCCGCTTGCAGACTGTGCGGCTGGCTTCCTACACGATTTCAAAAGTATTCTTGTCAACTGCATCGCTGCTGTGCTGTTCTAATGCTTCCTATTGCCGCTGCAGCCGTACTTCAAAGTGCTCGAAATGCATCGGCCGATTGTGATGGAGCGCATTGTCCACTTCATTTGCATGGGCCAAATCTCAAAATCTTCAGTTCTTGGATCACCCCAGATCTGCCATGGCAAAGTGAAGTAAAGTGAAGGTCTGTCCGACCGTGCCTCTCGGCGCTCTGTGAAGCCTCGCGCCTCCTTTTCAGATGGGGCCCCAGTGCAACAGCTGATCTAGCAAGCCACACTGCAAAGGCTGCTTGCACAAAGCCTTTGCACCTGCAATTGCGGTTCGGTGGGATTGTATGTTTTGGGCAGCCGGATCTTGTATTGGATGAATGGAGGGCTGTACGAGCTGCTGAGCCGCCAAACACTTCCATGGTGGCATGCCTTCCAATTCGAGCACATGCCTGATTTTTGCTGCTGTCAAGAAGAAGTTATGTCATACCGATGCTAGGTGGATGCGGTCGTTCAAGATCGCTTCCGAAAGATGGTGAGGTTCAAGCGAGTGCGCTTTGATGGTGTTCTTGTTCTGAAGTTTATGTCAGCTGGAGAGTCTCAAGCAGAAGCCTGCACTGTAGGCTCCACGAGAAACCTTAGGGCTAGGCATACAAAGGGCTTTGAGCTGAAGTCCAACTTGAACCTTGTCAGTCTCGTCCATGCTGAACAGAAGGTACTGGCAACATATGGGCTCATCGATTCACAAGGCCAAGTTGAAAAGATGGGCTTCAGGTTCTCGCTGTTGCCAGGCAGTGAAACTTGTGGCAACCTTCCAGAAGTCAAAAGACTACCAGCAAGAAGTTATGCTACCAGTGTTGACAACAGCCTCGCAAACAATCCCTGCTGTGTTGGGCAGCTAACAATGTTGCGAAAATATCAATCGGCATGCAGGCCGAAAGGTTCAGGGAAGGTGAAGGAATGGCCCTATGCTGCACATGCTTAAGCAGATCGGCAGGAACCTGGAATCTGACCGACCGTGATGCTGTCGATGAGCTCGTGAATATCTTTGAGATCAATGAAGACAGGCCGGTGATGGGAAGGTGTCCGTGTTGGTAAGTAGGCTCGAAGAGAATTCATATGCGCCGCTTATGGTGGTGGCCAGAACCCGTTTTTTTTTTTGTCTGTTTGGTCTTTTTGTTGTTGGGCGCCTTAAAGC